TCGACACTCCCATCTAATGGGGAAAAAATCGACTAACCTGCAATTATTGAGAACAAATGGGATATGGGATTTCCGGGGAACCATAACCTGGGTGCCTGACGGGGAATGTTGGGGATTATGTAACATTATGATCGGCATGCTGCCGCACATTCAAGGTCCGCCGCCGAATCCGTCAGTCTTCCTTTCTTTCTGCTCCAATGGCCCTTGGCACCATTCTTCGACTGCTCGACCAGCATCCCCACATAAGCCATCTCACGACTTTCGACTTTCTTAACTTCATCCCCCATTGACAACGAATTGACCGAGAAACAAATTAGTCTCACACCTCGGCCCGCAATCAAATAGGCAGAGCTTTTGATCGAGCCATCACTTTGGTGCCGATGACTATTGATGCGCACCAGCGCTCCCTTGGCGTGAGTTTCCCACGGTTTGACTCAATTTCCCCTTTTGGTTTCCGGACTTGTTCCTGGCTCGACTCACGGCGACCAACTCCGTACGGACTTCAGGGCACTCCGCTCCGTATTCAGGCACACTGTCCGAGTGTCCGCTGTATGTCTCCATTTAGATATTTATTCCCACCCATGTACTATAAAAGGCCCCGGAGTTTACAATGTAAAGTAGTGACTTGCACCCCCCTGCACATTAGCCTCGCTTCACAGCGTATCACCCTCGTCCTCGCGTCCTCCGTCGTCCTCCGATCACAGTCTTTCCCCGCATTAGATATCGACCCCGTATATAGATTAGCTTAGTGTCCTACGTCGACCCCCGATCACCGCCTTTAAGCCTTCGGTATTAGCCCCCGTGTCCTTCGCCGCCCTCGACCACAGTTGCACACCGTTTGCGCTCACGCCCTCGTCCACGCCTCTCGCCCATAGCCGGAGTCACCCTCACACTTACCTGACTGGTATTGGGACATCTTAGACCCACCTCGCACACCCTCGTCTATTACTCCCGCACTCGGAGTTGTTGTTGTTCATTTATTTGTTCAGCTCCCGCTCTTAGTCCCGGAGTAGGCGTATCACTATCCCTTCCTTACACCTCAGCACACAAGTCTCTGGTGCCCAAATGGCCAGCCACCTAGCTTGATCAGCTGGAGTGGGCCACTCCAAAATGGCTCTGAGGGCGGGCGGCGGATACCGAAGTACACGACGATGACCAAGCCATAGACGACCTGTAGTAGTGACCCGCAGACTGTCCGCCAACGGGAAATTTGATAATCAGGTATGCTCCACACTGGAGGCATTCTGAGCATCTACGGGGAGCACCACGAGTGGGGTGGGCACGACGCGGAGGAGGGAACGTCCGACAACCTGCCAGCTATGCCGCCGGCTTGATCCCGGTTTTGATCCCGGCTGATGGCCCGGAAATCCCAAAACCCATTCTTTCAATTATTGTTCAATTACCAGCATTTTTTGAAAAACTTTTTGAGCACCCCCAATCCTGTACAAAAAGCGAATCTATATTCAAACTGTTGTACAGTGGAGATTTTATGGCAGAATCCAAAACCCAGACAAAGGTCAGCGCAGTTCTCTCCAGGTTAGGGCTAAAGGTAGTGGACAGGGGACCATAATGACAATGGGACACAGTGTGCCCAGTGAGAACAAGCTGCCAGGGGGCTACATACTAGGGTGAAAAGTAAGGAGTGACCGGTAAGGCTGTCAAGAGTCGCTAATCAAGTAATGTTTGTTGGAATTTCAAGTAGTGCGAGATTTTTTGGAGGGCAAGAGGTTGTCGAAGGCGTTGTCCACTGCGGGATCGCGAGCCCTTTGAGAGGGCGTAGATGGCTGTGTAGGAAGGACGAGCACAGACGAAGGACAAAAATGGCGCACCGAGTTGGCCTTCCATGTACGTGATTGTACGTGGAGTATGAAGACCAGCTGCGCCGGCGCCTCAGGAAAGGCGAGGTCTGGATGATCCAGCGAGCCGCGGCGTGATCTGTGAACGCGTTATTGAGGGAAAAGGGATACAGAGTGAGAGAAGACGATGGGACAGAGTCGGGGGTAGAGAAGAAAGAATATGGAGCGCGGTGTGGCAGAGCTGTATGGCCGGCAGGTGGAAACTCAACCACACGCTGGTTTCGGTTCAAGCCTGATTTATTGTTGTTATTTTACTTACAGCATTTGTTTGGCCAGTAAATACCGCGCCCGCAGCGCCAGCAAATCATCATCCCACGTCTTACGCTCATCTGTGCGAGCCAGTGCGGGCTAGCGCCCAAATACTCAGAGTCCTCTAGAGTTCCCTCCACACGACCTCCCCCCATTTCCCCACTCGGCTTCATTCGTGGTCTGTCCTGCCCAGAGGGCTTCAATTTGGAGAACTCCGCAGCCATTGCCGGCCTCTGGCTCTCATCATCGTTCAAGTCTCTCAGACACTTATCAATCCACACTGCCCTCTCCCGGAGACACCTCGTCCAGGCCTTCGCTCTCCCCCTAGATCCTTCTGTCTGAACCAAACCTGGGGCGGCGTGCAGCATGGTTCTCCCTCAACTTAGCCGCGACATACACGGGGCCTCACTGTTTCCTACTCGACTCGTGCTGAATCACACGCATCAAAGCTGCTAGCCTCGTAGGCACAAATATGTCCAGACACTCTGCTCTCCTTCTCTCCAGTCCTCGTGTACTATGTCCGACAATGAGCGCTCGTATACAATGGCTTTAAGAAACTCCCCTCCGGTGAGTTGCAGCATCTTATCCTGCAGTTTGGATACGGCTTCCGCGGGCCTTTTCTATCACACTTACAGTGAGTAGTGCTCGATGATTTAATTGCGGGCCGTAATACTTAATATTTACTTTCTTTCCAGAAGGCGCCAGCGAGGCTTCGACGCCATATATCGCGGTCCCGCCGCCGGCGTCTTGGCCTCCCTCACCCAAGTTGATTCCGATTCTGTAGTATCCGAGGTGCGTCGGCGTGCTTCGAATGCCGACTCCAATTACTAGCTATTTCAATTCTGCTTCCACAGGTCGACCGCTCAACCTTGACACCATATCGCTTTCCCGCCACCGATCCCTTCACCCATCAATCGGACTCTCGCTTGGCCTCAATTTCTTCTTCCGCTACGCAGGCGCTATTGGATGGTACCCCGATGCGTCTCAGTCCTTGCATCGCTCATTTTTTTATTCAGTATTTAATTTCGCTTCCACAGGCGACCCACAAAGCTTCGATGCTATATGTCACGCTCCCGTGACCGACACTCGACGCCTCATTTTACACGAAATCTACCGCGGGTTTCAGACGTCACGATCGCCAATTTCCCCCGCTGCCCGGGCTTCCACGCAACACATCGGCACCACTCGAGCGAACCGTCGCCGCTGTCCAACCCCGCGAAATTTCGCGGCTGCGCGGCCGAGTCGTTCCCGAGATATGTTCGCGCTCATCTCCCACTTTCTAGGCTGTTAACATTGATTAGATCTTCATTTTTTCTTCCGCTGCGCGGCGCTGGATTGCAGTACCCCTCGGCATCGACTCCATTTCAAGTCTTGTCTGTTACTTCGTTGCCTGGATTTTCCTTCTAGTTGACTTTTCTTACGCGCTCTAATGGATTGACTCCCTTACTTGACTTCAAACACGCTAATTCCATTAGAGTTACTTTCTATACCTTACTTGTAGTCAGTAGCGTCAAGTAGTGTCAAAATAGCCTCCTGGCGAGCTCAAAATCTGCGTTTTTTCCCGTGACCGCTGCTGGTTTTATTCGGTTTTCGAGGTCCGTGCGCGCCCCAGAATCTAGAAAGCTGCAGGGTCAGGGCGAGGGACGGGGCGCTTGGGAGCATGTAACCTGGACAGTAATTAGAACAGCACTGAACGTAATACGGGTATGGGAGCGTTTGGAACTGCCGCGATAACCACTGCCACAACAAATGAACGGGACGAGATACTCTGAGGTGCAGCGCTCGCGTTGTGAAATGAAGAAAAAGTCATATCAGTGGAAGCCAATGTTGAGATTCTGATGATTCCGTCCGGGAGCAAGAGCGGAATTCCATCCATGTGCGGTACGGGGAAAAAAAGGGTATCCAAGAACCTCATAGCATCGGCGGGGAGTCGAACCCCGAGCTCGTCACGAGTCAATGTATACATTTGACTACGAGGAGAATTTCGACGTGTGTTTCTTACACCACCGATGCGCAGATACGCCTGCATCCGGATGATTAAATGTGCATCTCCAAACCCGGGGGGTCCGAGCGAAGGAGGGTACGCAGGTCGCTGGGAGACACGAGAACGCCCGGCAGAGCCAAGAGGGACATTTCAAAGGAGGGGCCAAAAAACACTGGAGGCGGATCAGGTATTAGGAGAGCATGGGCTGCGTGGGACAGGCTGAAAAAAGTATAATTGCCAGAAGAAATGCACCGGCGGGGAGTTGAGCCCCGAGCTCGTCATGGTGCAAAGCAGCATATTACAAGGTTTTCGACGCGTGCTTCTTACACCACCGATGCGCACAGAAGGCTGTAAGCGGGTGATCAAGTGTGTGTGTTCTGGTGCGTTATTTTTTTGACGCGTGTTTTATCGAATTAATGGGTACGCACGTCGTTGGCCGTGTGCTAGATGAGGAGGGCCGGCAGAGCCAAGAGGGACATTTCAGAGGAGGGGCCAAAAAACACTGGAGGCGGATCAGGTATTAGGAGACCGTGGGACGGCGTAAAAAAATACGGTAACCCGCAAGAATACACCGGCGGGGATTCGAACCCGAGCTCGTCGTGACTCAATGTATAAGTTCGACTACAATCAGGATTTCGACGTGTGTTTCTTACACCACCGATGCGCCGAGTAGCTTGTAAGCGGGCGATGAACCGTCCATTGATATCTCCAATTAAAGCCGAGAGAGTCCGAGAGGATTACCAGATAAGCCGTTGGGCGCGGGATAAGCAGGGTAGTGTGAGAAGCAGATCGGATGATTCTTGAAGGAAGGAGAACGCTCCGCCCAGGTAGCGGCCCATGTAAAGAGATTATAATTACAACCCCATGTGGCGCGTAGGACAGCGTGAAAAAAGTACCGCCGCCCCGAAGAATGCACCGGCGGGGAGTCGAACCCCGAGCTCTTCATGATCATTGGGACAGACTTGGGACAGACACAAGAATTTGACGTGTGTACCTTACACCACCGATGCGCAGATACGCCTGCAAACGGATTATAAAATGTGCATCTCCAGTGAATTACCAGACAGGTCGCTGGCCGTGTGATCAGGGCCGGAAAAGCCAAGAGGTTTCTTTCGAAGGAGAAAAAACACACTGGAGGTGACTCCAGTATTAGGAGACCAGGGGGGGGGGAGGGTCGTAGGACAGCGTGAAAAAAAGCTCAAGAGAGATGCACCGGTGGGGAGTCGAACGCCGAGCTTGTCATGATCTAATCCAATGTAACAACAAAGATTTTGACGTCTGTTTCTTACACCACCGATGCGTAGAGTAGCCTACTACCCGGGGGTAAAGTGCGCAGCTTTGCTCCAGTTCGAGGCCAAGTCAGAGAGGCGAGAAGAGGTAGATGATCCCTTCGATTGACGGGCTTGAAGGAAAATATAGATGAGGTCGATGGAGGTTGATATGAGCATTTTGATAATTCCGTCCGGAAGTGAGGAGTTGCGTGTAGGGAAAAAAAAGCTAACGTCCTGCATATGCACCGGCGGGGACTCGAACCCCGGGCTCGTCATGGTTGACTGCCAATGATTCCTACCAGAATGTTGACGTGTGTACCATACACCACCGATGCGCAGATACGCCTGTATCCGGATGATAAAATGTGCATCTTCAATCCTAGGAGGGAGAAAAAAACACTGGAGCCGGATCAGGTATTAGGAGACCGTGGGACGGCGTGAAAAAAGTTCCGTACTTTGCAAGAGGAATGCACCGGCGGGGAGTCGAACCCCGAGCTCATCATAATAAACTCTCGGACAACGCGAAGAATTTTGACATGTGTTGCTTACACCACCGATGCGCCGATAGCATCCGGATGATAAAATGTGCATCTTCAATCCTAGGGAGTCCGAGAGGATGACCAGACAAGTCGTTGGGCGCGGGATACACGCATGCCGCCGGGAGAACACAGATTTGTGGCTCGGAGTTGGGAAAACAAAACGATGGAGTCGATTTAGGTACCGTGCGTAGGACAGCGTGAAAAAAAGTACAATTACCTCGAAGAAATTCAAGAATGCACCGGCGGGGAATCGAACCCCGAGCTCGTCAGGATATAGTCATTTTGTCCTAAGACAGGATTTTGACGCGTGTTTCTTACACCACCGATGCGCAGAGAAGGTTGTAAGCGGGTGGTGAAGCGTGTGTCTTCGGGTGTGTTGGTCTCGAGTCCGAGGCGAGAGAGGGCCGATTTGGGAGAAGAATCGAGTTAGATGAGAGAAATTACTCAGCAGGAGTCAGGTGGGAAGCGTCCAGCAGAGTGATAGTTACTCGGTTGGAGTCATGGGCGTCCAATGAACGTCCTGAACTCGAGCGAGCTGCGAGAGACCAATTTGAGAGCGGTAGCTTCCAAGTATTGAAGGACCCCATTGCAGAACTGGAAGTTGAGGCAGACAAATCTACAAACAGATAGCCCCCCGAGAGACGTACAACCCAGCAAGACGAGGACAGAGAACTTGCGGAGGAACATGACATGGGCGTGAGAGCCAAAGGCGGTGTGACACCTGAGTCACGGTCACATCCATCGCGTCTGCCTTGCTCTTGCCCTTGTCCTCGTCCTCCCCGCTGCTGCTCATGCCCACATTCAAGGTCGTTGTTATAGACCCCTCCGACGTCGGCAAGACCAGTCTCCGCTGCCAGGTGCGTGCTTATCCCTCAGACCTTAATTATAACATTTCTCGACTGAGCTCGCTGCAGTACTGAGTACATCTCCGCGCGTTTCTCGACGCCCTATCGCGCGACCATCGCCGACTCCATAAAAAGGACCCTCCCCCTTCTACACCCGGCGGGGAGCCCGTGGTGCTGCAGATCTGGGACACCGCGGGCCAGGAGCGCTTCGCCTCCGCGTTCTTCCGCCGCGGTGCTCATGTGCGATCTGACGAATGCGGGGACGCTGTACGCGCTGGAGGGGTGGTGGACCGAGCTCCGCGTGAAGGCGCACGTGGGGGACGTGGGTGGGTTTTGTGTGTGTGGTGGGGAATAAGCTGGATCTGGTGGAGGGCGTGGTAGGGGGTGGGGTGGGGGGCAATGAGAGAGGGGTGATATCGGCGGCGCAGGATGCGTGCTTCGTGCGGGCGCTCGTCCCCCGCGTGGAGCCGCCGCCGTTGCCGGTGCCGCCCGCATCTGACGCTCGCCGCCGAGTCTGCCGAGGCGGACAAGGATGACGCCGACGCCGGTGCGGCCGACACCCTCGCCTCATCGCAGCTCACCGCGCACCCCTCCTTCCGCACCCGCGCCTCTCGACCGCCCCCTCAAAGTCAAAGTTCCCACACGCCCGCTCGCACTGGCGCGCGCTCCGAATTGCACGCCAAGAATCCCGCACAGACCATGACCTCAATGCTCACGGTGTACCACATGGCTTCTTCCGTCTCTCTTCCTCCGCCTTCTCCGTCGTTCTACTCTGGCACTCGTCCTCCGCATCGCCTGGGGGATTCGACGACGCGCGGACTCGGAGTTTGCTGTTATTGGGTTTGACTGACGCTCCGCAGTCCATCCGCTCCACTTGCATACCCAACACCCCCAGCGCTGGCCTCCACCACGGCATTCTCCATCCTCAAAGCAGTTCGGCCTTCTCCCTCATCTCCCCCGGTTCTCTCTTCGATGGTAGCTCTCAATCCCGCGTACGACTGACTCCCCCATTCTTCTTAGTGTTGTTTGCCGGCTCGCGAGCCGCAGTCAACGTTCAACGGTAGTCCGTGTCTGAGTTTCTGAGCTGACTTGCTTTTTAGGTGCGCAGACGCCCGATACGTTGACGCCACTTTACTCCGCCTCAAGGGCTCGGCAGGATGTCATGACAATTACCTCGGTGCGCCGCATCCGAGTCGTTCATCCTCCCTTTCTTCGAAGACTGTACTGTACCTATCTGTATCTAGTTGACAAATACACATACATGAAGCCTGCAAGCAACGCTCGATCTAGAGTATTAATTGCTACGCTCCCTGACCGAGCGCCACAAAACGAAAGACAAGGACAACCGTTCTCCCAGCCCCATGCACCACCGGGGAGTTGAACCCCGCCTCGCCATTACGCCTTCCGAGTCTCTACTATAAGGCTGGCGCGTGTCCCCTCCACCTCGCTAAAATCGGGTCCCGAGGATATCAACTTGGTTTTACCCGATGCGAAAAAGGATGAAGAAGGCAATGGATGCACCGGCAGGGAGTCGAACCCCGGCTCGCCATGGCAAATTCCGTTCCTTGCCATGGGTGTGGCGTGTGGACCCTCCACCACGGTGCCCATGCTTTCTCCCAATGAATCCCGAGGATATTGACTTTGTGTAACCTCTTGCCTGTCAGATTAACCCGTTAACTTCCGTCGAGTAGGTCGTGGAGGAGAAAAACGTTAAAATTCGAATTAGTATTATTATTAGCAGCTCCACCCATCCTGTCCCGTGTATTGCAAAATGGGTGAGACTGGCATTGCGAAAAAGAGTGTTCTGAAACAGACTGTGACATGCACCGGCTGGGAGTCGAACCCCGCGTTTACCATCCCAGTGGACGAACGCTGCATTGGGATAGCGTGTGTACCCTTCACCACGGTGCTTCTGGAAGCCCTGGAAGCCCATCCAGTTAGAGAACGCGATCCGCACGATCCGACGGGCGCTGCTAACAAAGAAAGATTACCAACAAGACACATGCATGCTGCATCGGTATTATGTTTTTCGTTCTCGCTCGCCGGATACTCCTTCAAATCCCATTGGAGGCGGGAAGAGAAGAAACAGTCAGAACTTAGGGGAGGCAGAGAAGCACAGGCCGTGCACGGGGCACTCACTGCACTGGTTACATCACCGCGGAGAAAACGTTGAGTCAGTGAGCGGGGTTCGATTCCCCGCCGATACATGAGATTGGCAGGTATATTTTTCTTTCCTTCTTCTTGATTTGTCGACTTGCTAGGACTCTGTAAATTGAATTCGCCTTGTCAAAGAGGCATTCGCAGCCAGTGGGAAAGTACGGCCAATGCCGCACCACCCGCACCGCACCTACAATCGTGATAAATTCTTGTGGTCATGATCGCACATCGAGACTCGAAACTTGCATACCTCACCCGCCTCACATTATAAGAAGAGAGAAACAAATTGAATCCTCGTCTGCGGCATGGCGGAAGAATGCCGGGCCTCCAACCAACTCGGCCATAGCAAGTTGACGGCATCTCAGCACACGGAAAGAAATAACAAAAGACATTATATTCGCGGCATTGAACACGAATCATCGCCGGAACGCAGAAATTACAAAAGTTCCAACGGAAACCTCTCAACATCAGCACCAAGATTTCCCTTCCCTCCACGGATCCCGCCACTCAAAGAGTGATGGGGATGCAGTTAATGGCGATGAGGCTACCCCACGCCTCCTCGGGCGCATCGCAGGTAACGCTGGTTCCACCGCTGGCAATGCGCGTCAGTTTCGGATTTTGTTCCGGACATTTCTAGTACTAACCAGTTGTTGCCGACGACGGTGATGGGGCTGCAGCCCAGGCCGACGGGGACATCGAGGCCGCTGAGGTCGAGGCCGAGGAGGGCGGCGACCGCGGAGGCGGAGGTGCTGCTGGACGACTGGACGCTGCTGCAGCACTGGTTCGAGGTCGGGGGAGTGACCGGGGGCGTATCCCAAGGTCTGGCGGCAGCAAGGGTCTACGAAATAATTGATCAGTACGATGGAGACCCGAAATATGAATGGTAGCGTACAATGAGCACCGAAGTGACAACGACAGAGAGTTTGGAGAACATTATTGAATGAGTTTGAACGACAGAGGGATGTGTTCGAGTGAGTATTAGGAGTAGAGCTGCGCTGCTTTTATACTGTGCTCTGCCACATTTTCCCACGATTCAAGAGCATGTCGGGGCCGCATAGTACTAGGAACCAACTTCACCATGGTCGCGAAGAGTGGAGCAGCAGTGGAGCTGGTGGACATTTGCATCGACATGGTCGGGCAGCAAGGGAAACTATATTTCTCTCATGTCACCTCGGGTGTTGATTTGCACGACGTGATCTGTGGAGCTATTCATTTCCTCATTGAGGGATAGCACTGCCGTCACGATGGTCATGACAGGAATACTTTTATGGGCCCCGGATGAATAATGTGTGTTCAATTTCGCGATGGGCTGGTTGCCTGGGATGATATGAAGGTACCTAACATCCACTCTGTTCCGAAAATCCGAGGCAACGTGTGTTATAAATTAGACTTCACCGAATGAATGGTCCGGTGGGGGCAGAGCGCCGAAATCAGTAACCCAACAGGCGGCGCCTAAGCGTCATGATGCCGTACAATTCAATGCGTGGAGGAAGTGCGCTGCTACATGGTCAGTTGACAAGCCCAAAATATCTCACCAAGCCCAGCGGTATGATGCTCCTTGAGCAGAGGGAGACATCTCTTGAAAGGAGCGCGGTGAGATCCGCTGAGCACAGATTGTTAGTGATCTCGACGTCATCAACGGACAGTTTGACCGCTCATGTTTATCACGGCATCGCGCAAGGCATTGAGCAAATTACCTCGCTCGCTTCAAAAACTCCTCTCCACCTTCGCCGCGACATGATTTTCCGATTCAGAGGAATTGCACTCCCTAGTGTGATTGAGACGGTGACATTT